ATGCAACTGACATGCAGCCATTTAAAGTAAGAACACATCGTTATGAACCAATGTTTTAAACAGGTGCAATAATATTTAGAAGTAGGAACCTCCCCACCATGGATGCTGCTCTACCCCTCATATCCCTGCAGCGTTTACATCTAAAAGTCGAGCCTCATTGATCATTTAGCACAGCATGAACAGCATTCATGGCAAGTGGTGCCTTAACATGGTCTACAGATGTTCCCTCATTATTTGAAAAGAATATGGAAATTTTGCCAGACAAAAGGGCCTGTCATTGTCATGACAGATGACAAGTGTAAAGTGTAATTTATTCTTCTATTGTTCTTTTTCATGGGCTTGCATTCCCCCCCCCAGTTATTTATGAAGTTTAAAATTAAAAAACCCACAAAATGTGCACTCTGTATGTAGCTGATGGCATTTTCATTGTTGTAAAGAAATAAGTATTAGAAAAATGGGGCATTAACTGGTATAAGAAATACATAATTAATACCTAGAACTTTTTTTTAAAAAAAAGTCACATGAGGCAGGCATCCTTCAGTCTCGAAAGAATATGGTGTCGTGCTCTGTATGGAGGACTTGGAACAGCGTCTAGTGTGGCTGAAGAGGCCAATTCGAGAGGGGCAATCTCTTCCACACTGAAGACAAATCCAATCTGTCCCCTGTCCAGCTCCCTGGTTTTGCTGCTTTTGTGACTTCCTCTTTGCCTCGGCCTGCTGGACAAGGGTCTCTTCAAATTGGGAGAGGCCATGAAGCACTGCCTGCCTCCAGGCTGAACGGTCAGATGTCAGGGTTTCCCATCTGTTGAGGTCTATTCCTAAGGCCTTCAGATCCCGCTTGCAGATATCCTTGTATCGCAGCTGTGGTCTCCCTCTGGGGCGATTTCCCTGTACTAATTCTCCATACAGGAGATCCTTTGGAATCCGACCATCAGCCATTCTCACGACGTGCCCAAGCCAATGTAGACGCATGTCTACGTTGGCTTGGGCACGTTCATACTATTCATATAGTCTATTCATATATACTATTCATATAGTCACATGAATATATTGAATATGAAAAGAGACCCGTATTTCAGGCATTTTGCACCTGATAGCATATAATGATAGCCACTCACAATCAGGCCTTTCAGCTGACAGATCAACTTTGCTTAACTATTTTGTGCAACAACGTGATGCAATTTGGATAAGAATGCTTTCCAGGGACACATTTTTGTATATTAGCTGCTTCACCTTGTATTTTTGCAGTGGTGCGAAATCCAAAATGCACAGCTTTGTCATGCCTGTGTTCCACGCTCTACCCGTCTTGTTACAATCTGCTTTGCTTAGCACAGCTCTAACTGAAAGCAGAAACCCAGCACATGTTCCGGCTTTAGGAATCTGTAGCATTAACCATGAGAAAATCCAGACCTGATGCTAGCGGTGATGTCACAGTTCCAACCCCCGTTCCTTTAAAATGCGAGGCTGACACAGACAAATTGGTTTCCCTGAATTGCCTTGGATGACTTCAGTTAGAAAGACTTTGCATATCACCTACTTCAGTTTAGCTTACAAGATTAGCCTAATAGATTTTAAAATGTGAGACTTTTTTTTCTCTTCGTGAGGGTCTGAATTGTGAGCAGGGGGAGATGGCTTCCTCTGAGCCTTGACTCTTCTGAAATGAGGCCCAATCTACTTTTTGTCATTCTTTTCTGGATGCTGAGCTCTTCACGAGGCACCTTCCACTCCCTAGGGCCCACTGCTTTCCTCTCCTACCTTGGTACATGTCCTTCTTGCTTTGGATGCCTGAACAGCTTCTGTTAGAGAAACTGTCCTCCGAGAAGAATAAAAATCACTTGCTTTGGGCAGTAGAGAGTGAGAGGTTTGGAAGTGTTCAGGGGGGGAGGATTTTAAGGCTTACAAGGGTTCAAAAGACCTGGTTCCCAGCAGATTTCTCTAAACGGCCTATTTTACAAAATTCAGGCCATCGTGCCCCCTAAGCAAATAAGGAGCATCACATCCAGGCGAGCACAGAAGCATGAAGATACAAAGTGGCTGGGGAAGGGAGGGAAACCCAAGCCTTTTGTCAGAAATCTGGGGATGACTTCCATCCCCAGATGTGGTGATAATTATTAATTCCATTAGTTTCTTCTGAAAAAAAAGGACAAGTTCTTGTCCCTGTGAGCTTACATTTACATTTTAGCAGAAGGTAAAGAGCTAGAGCTGCCCATCCCTGTTTAAAAGAACAAGGTCAGGGCTCCAGTGCACTTATTGGCAAGTAACTTATTGAGCCTTCGCTTGCTGGATAGCTCAACAAAATGAACAGGAGTAGGGAGTTCTAAAAGAACAGGGTCAGGGCTCCTGTGCACTTATTGGCAAGTAACTTACTGAGCCTTCGCTTGCTGGATAGCTCAACGGAATGAACAGGGGTAGGGAGTTCCATTGCCGCCCCCCCCCCCCCCGGTGCCTCCCAAGTGAAAAACTAGCCTGGGTAGCCTTGGGCAAGCTACACAGCCCCAGGGTGCCCTGCCCACCAAGAGGGAATGGTGGGGTCAGGGCTCCTGTGCACTTATTGGCAAGTAACTTACTGAGCCTTCGCTTGCTGGATAGCTCAACGGAATGAACAGGGGTAGGGAGTTCCATTGCCGCCCCCCCCCCCCCCGGTGCCTCCCAAGTGAAAAACTAGCCTGGGTAGCCTTGGGCAAGCTACACAGCCCCAGGGTGCCCTGCCCACCAAGAGGGAATGGTGAGTCACACATGAGAGTAAAACCCTAGATAGGACTGCTATAAATCAGAAGCAACTTGACACACCACTTAATGGTGATTCATTAGGGCTGAGGTTAGGGTAATGGCATAAAATTAAATGTCTTTCCTGTTTCTAGCTTTTACATCTTTCACCTATACTCTTCCTCTCACTGACAGCTTTGCCATGTGTCAGCGGCAATAGGATGAATCGGTGAATACAAATTAGAATAAATGGTCCTTTGTTGTGATGTCTATTTTCAGTTGAATGTGCACAGCAAAAATAAATACATAAATAAAATAAAAAATCTTCATGGGTAACAGTGTGAGAGGCACTTCTCCTTGCTCAATCATATGTTGATTTTCCAATGTGCACAGACAGACACACAGTATTGTTGCGGTGCACACTGTGTGCTAACGCATCCCTAGCCAACTCTGTTTCCCCTCTTCTGGAAAAAAAACCCCCTGTTGACCGCTCTTGATGGCCATCCGGGTTTCTATACAGCATAGCAGCATGAATCTAGTGGGACACGAGTTTGTGGCTTTCACAAAATACATGGGCAGATGGGAGGGGTCATCATCTCAAAGGGACTTGCTTCAGACTGAGGATGCCTCAAGTCATCACCCGTATTCAGGAATCCCAGCGTACCTATGCAGGCATGCAATCTCCGAGGGCTTCCCCATTTTTTAAAAAAACCTGGTCTGGTGCATGTGGAGCCCACCAGCTCTTGCTAACCTGGAACTTTCACTCACCAAAAGACAGGATGGCCAGTGAGGAGGGTGGAGAGGAATAGTACTTCAAAAGCATCAAGATCGTGGTCCCTTTCCCTACCTCAAATGGAGGAAAGCCCCTCGAGACCCTGTTTCTTGTCCTTTTTGGCCTGCAGAATGACCACCCATCCTTTGAAGCAGAGTGGGAAGTGCGCTGTGGTGCTTCAGAGCACCTGCAGAACTTTAGAACGAGGGGTCTTGGATTCAGAACAGGATTGCAAAATTAAACTCACGGGACACATCCTGTCCTTTTGAGAGGAGGTGTCCATCCAATAGAAGCTCAGCCAGATTAACGAAGCGACTTGTCGAAACAGATGCAATAGGGTCTGCTTCTCATATTGGATGTGACTGAGGCAGAAATGGCAATTCAAAGTTCCCTTCCCTGTGGTGTGTGTTTCAACTACATGTTGTGTCTCAAAGGACGAAAAACGTCCTTTATATACAGTACAAAGGAAGGCTGCAGGGGCTTCTACAAAAAAATACACTGCATTTAAATTTATCGTAGCTTATGTTTACCAAACTGCTACAGAACGTGCAGGGCTTTGTCTTTTGTAACATCTAACTCCACAAGAAGGAGTTTTTCCCCTTTAGAGTTTAAAGCGTTGGCTCATTCCAAATGGTGTCTTTTTAAAAGACACCAAGGTAGTACTGAATTGATAGTTAACTCAAGGAGGAAGAATTCAAGAAAAGTACTTTAATCAGGATGGCGTGCCAACAATGGATCTGGAGAAATCGTATGCAACTGGTGATTAAGTCATAAAACATGACTATCATTTTTGTTTCAGTTTTGCAGGAATGAGAGAGCACTTATTCTGTCTAAAGTATAGTAACAAACCTTCACAACCTGGCAGAATAATGGGGGGTTGCTTGCAAAAAGATAGAGTAAAGGATATCCAGACTCACTCCGTAGGTTACTAATTTCCCCATTATAGGTCAAAATCATGGGTGGAGGGACGGGAAAAGGTTAGTTTTATCCTGATAATAAAGGACTGTGGATAGTTTTGAAATGTTGTTTCAGGTTTTGCATACTGTCGGGACGCTTTGGGGTTTTTTCATTTAAGGAAAGTAGCTTCGAAATGTAGGGAAGTCCTGATAGGAAGATTTAGACACGTTAAACTGTCCTTACTTACAAATAGTTTGCATACGGCAAGCATTCTTGCACGTTCCTTAAGCATTTTATGCGCATGGAGCTGTGTGGAGTGAGACTTTAACACTTAAGTGCCTTCATTCACTTGCTGTAATAAGCTTTTTCTGCTAAGAGCAACCAGCTGCAGGTACAGTAATAGGTTGGTAGACATGCTAAGAAAGATATTATTTAAAACGGCACATTTCAAAATCAATACGAAAAATTCAGTAGTAAGACAAACCAGAAGGCATTTAGCTGTGAGAATGGTCAGTGTACTCTGATATAACTGGGACACACCGTAAATGGCAACTTTAAAAAATAATTCTGATCATAGGTGCAGACACCAAACTTTCACTGCATGCTGGAAAAGAATGGTTACTTACTGTAGTTGTTGTTCTGCTCGAGCACTCCTTTTATTTTCCCTCTCTTATCAATCTTGATATACCACTGAGTCCGACAGAAAAGTCTCCTCACCCTGACATTGCCCCCTTCCATATAATCGTAACTTCTGGTATGTCGTTCTGGGGAGGAACAGTTTGCAGATGCAGCCATTTGCTCTGGAGTCATCTCATTGCAAGCTAAGGATACGTTGCTCACAAGGAAGATAAGGTAAAAGTATGATCTGTAGAGCAAGACTGGCAGGATCCATGTCAACATCCATTTGTGCATTATAGTGCAGTGTTCTGGGTGCGCTCGAACAACATAATGAAAAAAAAATCCGTCTTCTGTAGATTGCCGACCTGCCCTCTTGTCTTCCCCTTGAATGGTAAAGTGATTTAGCCTGTGAGAACTCCAGTCCTGGTGGCTTGTAATATACAGGTAACTTTTTTTTTCAGCCAGAATATCCGTTAAAGAAACAGGTAGCCATACGCCAGGTTGGTGTGACCTCCTTTGCTACTTGCGTTCAGTGCGCGTGCTGAAAGCAAAAGATCTATGAGGAAAGTGGTATGCATAAATTTTGACCGATTACATAAGCAAAGGAGCTATCAATTTATGCTGTGGAAATAAAACTCTGGTAAACCAAGAGCACAAAACCAGTTAGCAAGTCCATGTTAGCAAAGGTTCCTGACATTAACCCCACGTTTTAAGAGTCAGTCTGCAACCCCGCTGCTTTGCATCGCTGCGTCTGAGGATTCAGCTACACTTCCAAACTCTTCTGCAGGAAACCGCTGCCGCATCCTCTTTCTCTTGATTGCTTCATCCTCTATTTTCTTAGTGATTTCCCTAAAAGCTTGCTCCCTATCTTGAGTTTTAATGACCAGAACAGACGGTATACACTTAGCTCGGCCATTGCCACCGTCTTGTAAGACGCTGTCAAGAATATTGCTTGTGATCTCACAGAATTGTGAGGACAGAAAATACTGTTAGCAGCTAAGAAATCTCTTAAGAGGTTATAAAGAAGACAAATGACTTACTTGCTCTTGTTGATAACAGCTGAGCGCACAAGTATTCCATTTCTGTTGTCTGCCTTTTGCAACATGAGACGCTCTACTGTAGCTACAAACTTTTCTAGCTCAGAATCAAGACTGCGACAGAATCATAATTGCTTCCATAAATCAACATGTGCGCAAGAGGGTGTGTGCGAGCGTGTGTGCGTGTACATTTGTGTGTCTATGGGAGGGAGTGTGTGGTGTTAAGCCTGTTAAGGCTTTTGGGGGCAAAAGGGGAAAAAAATAAAAAAAAAAGGAAGGAAAACCTTGCTGATCCGTCTTGGAAGCAATTGGGACCTGACCAGTCAGATGTCAGTTGAAGACGGGAATAAAAATAAAACCTTGTGCTGACTTCTGTACTCTTCAGAGGGAGCTCTGAACATGGTTGATGCCTCAGGTCTCAAAACTGCCTCTTCTTTAAAAAAAAACACACACACACACACGTACACAAAACAAAACAGGGTTCTCCAACTCCTGGATTTGGATGCTCTTCTTGGTGTCTCCTTGATTTAATAAAGCATGAGCCTTTTCTGAAGCAAATGTGCCTTCTGAACACTCTTTTTCAAACCTTGAAGAGTCCACTTTCAGGATCCTGTTCTTCATGGAGAGGGGTACAGCATATAGGCAGAGTTGATTGTGGCTGTTGACTGTAACAGAAAGACTCTCCTCTGCCTAACCAGCTATACAGTATGTCACCCTCAAGAGCTGATCCAATCTGCATTCGCAGCCGCCTTCTGCCAGAGCCAGCTCCATCCAAAGTCTGCTCGAGGAGCATTGAGGCAAGAACAGCAACACACTAAAATTAATCTTGTCCTGACTGAGATCAGGGTCTTGGCATTGCATGCCCACCTCAACGTAGGTTGAAATAAAATTGGGAAATGTCTCAATGATTTTTGGGGAATGTCCACTGATTTCACTGAAACTGGACTGCAGTCCTCGGGAGTTTAATGCAGGTGTTGTCATATCCTTCCACAGTGACCTCTGCATTAACCGCCTTCCTCTGGTGGCAATGTTTCATCCACTGGCCCGTGGTTTTCCTTATTGTCACACAAGAAGACACACTCAACAGAACGTAAGAATGAGCCAGAGTAGATAGATACCGTAGGTTGTAATAGCTCCTGAAGCTTGAGGAATGTACCCAGTCTTTGCAATGTGGATGTGCCACCGACGTTGCCTGCTGGTTAGAACATCAGCTGAGTGGGACAGTGTGATGCTGAAAAATCGAACTCATCTTTCAGAGGGGGGAAATGAATACTTGCTGAAAATCACAAGGAGTAATAATGGGAATTAATATTCTGCTTGATGGATGAACTGTAGACTTTAATAGCTTAGATGATGATCATATCAGAAAGAGCCAGGGTCCTTATGCCTGTGGCTTTCTGTGGATAGGAGTGGGTCTTCTGAGCTTGGGAAGCGTTGCTCTCGGGTGGCTGAGAGACTCTGGCAGCCAGAACCCAAAAACCGATTGCTTCGATCTCCCATTGGGCAGGCTGATGTCCGGAAACACAGGTATGGTCAGGGTGTGTAGGTGATTCCTGGAGAAACCCCTTCCATAGGTTACCAGACGTCTTCACTCCACTGCTGGGCAGTTTTTGCTGGACAGAACCTGAGGGCCAGTTTCTTTTAATGGTGGTGAGACATTTATGGTAAGAAATGTTGAGCTGCCCACTGGTGAAGCAATCAGGCCTGTGGGGTGGGCTTCTCACTCCAGAGGCCTGCATACGCTGGGGTAACGACAGCGTCCCTCTTGTTGCAATGAGTAACTGCTGTTTGCAAAAATATGAGGCATGTGCTTTGCAGCCTTCTGCCCGGTTGTGTCTGTTTGCCCTCACCTAAAGGCAGCCTGGCTCTACTTTACCTGATATTTTATTTGGGTTCCAAGCACCTGGAGAGACTCAGGCTCTCCCTGCAGATGTTTCGCATCTGATCTCCTCCAGCTGTGGAAAACAAATCTTGTCTGTCAACTGCCCAGCAATATCTTCTTAGGGCTCTTTCAGCTTCCATGTTTTTCAAGGCTCGGGAAGAGCAGGGCTTTGCTCATGCGGGCCAGAACCAGAGGGGGGGTGTCACCAGAATCATATCCACGTGTCATACCAAAAGGGAGCAGCCAAACATGCACCAGTTAGGGCAGACGGATGGCCACACTCGCTCCCAGCCTGCAGGAAACACAAAAGCAATAAGCCATCAGATGCAGCCGAAAAGAAGTTCCTAACAAATCAGGCAGCAGATTGGAAACAAATCAAAACAGACCAAAAAGCCAGCAAAATGCACAGAGAGAGAGAGAGAGAGAGAGAGAGAGACCGAGACACGGATGCATTTAATTGGTCAAGGGGCCCTAATGATCCTTTTAAAAGAGTGGTCCACATAAAGCAGTGTCCTAAGCCAATGGACTTGCAGCATTAGCAACTGTGTAGATTCGTTCATTTCGTTAGGTGTTGTTGGGTAAGACCAGTTGGCAGGCTTTCGGTATCAACTCTCCATCTCTCCCTCCTCCTAGAAGTCTTCCAGTGTTTGGCTTGTATAAAATCGATGTGCATAAACATTGCATAAAATGAGCATATGCCTCAGGTGTTCAGAGCAGTTATTCCTAGAATTTATCTTACTGGGTCATGAAACAGCACATTCTTGGGATGTCAGTAATGGATAAAGCTGTGTACGAGAGAACATTTTTTAAAGATGTGTTTCATAATGAATGTTGCAGAGTGAAGTCCAGAAACTTCGACTCATCTCCATTTGCTTTTCACTCAGGTTGGTGGAACGTACTTCTACCAGAGGACGAATAAATAGACATTGAGTAATTAGAGTAGAGTAGACGTTGTCTAATTGGGTGGGGTATAAATTTAATAAATACATAAATGGTGTGTGCTGAAGCATCTTTAGGATGATTTTCCATAAAATTAAGCAACCGTTTGATGAATTCTTATTGTTCAAGGGTGCAACTTTGAGAAATGACTTCAGACAGAATTCTGTTATTTTACACAGAAAATAGCCATATAATTTATTTATTTTCATGTTACATTCTAAATGAAAAACTATGAAAAACAACCCAAGTGACCCTCTCATAAAATGGAGAAATATTAAGCTGCGGCATACACGACAATTCTTAGAAAATGAAGTTGTACAATAATCCAAGCCACTTCCATCTAATGAATCTTGGAAATTTCTTAGCTTTACTCTTGCCTGGCCTAATATTTATGTGCTAGTATTATGGCTGGGCTGGAGAAGTTTTGGATCTGGTGGGAACGACCGATGACTCCTTGGCTGGCAGAATTTGGCAAGTAGAAGTCGCTCTGCCAGCAAATCTGTTCTGTTTCAACAAATAGAAGGGGCTTCCACTAACATCAAGCAAGCGGAGCAGCAGAAGAGGCTTCTGTCTGATCCAGGCCCCTGAAGGTGATCTATGCTAGAGTTGGGATTATGCCATTAGTCCATACAGACATGTTGCATTCTAGACACAACCCAATAGTTATAAAATGCATTGGCCTGCTTTTCATTGTATTATGGCTGTAATCCGCCAGGCCTGGGGGTGGGGACTCTTTAGGGGAAGGCTTTTGAAAAAAATATATTGATTTTATGTAGTTCACTCAAGCTCAAAGGACTTATTTTACAAGACACAAACTTCTCTTGCAAAGTATAATCGCTCTGTATCGGACCTGTGAAAGGAATGCGCTCTCTCCTCTCACTCGAGAGGCCAGTTGCTGGCATGTGTCTTGCTTTTTACAGGAGACGATGGGATTTCACCGATCGCCAGCGTTTTGAGATAGGGCTCGCAGACCATCTCCTGTACTTATTTGGTAATAAATTACCCCCAAATAAGGGGAGAAATTGGAAGCATGTGCCTGCTTCGCGAGAAAGGAAGTATTTGCTTATTGGAGCAAAGGCGACGCCTTGCCCACATTATACGGAGAAGGGGGATTTCACCCACTTAGCAAACATATTTATGCTAAGCTGCATTTGCTGGAAATGTTTCTGTTTCCCCACTGAAAGGCAATACAAAATATGCCAATAATATAGAGCCGTCTTCGGCATGGGTGTTTTGTAATGGGGAAATGGGTTTGTAGGAGCGGAGCGGGAGCTTAGTCCAGTAAAAATGTTTTCGTCCAGAAACACCCAACATTTTGGACTGTTCCAAATTCTTCCGGCCTCAGGATTCAGAAGAATTTTTACAAGTACTAGGAGAGATACCATCTTGCTGCCACAGATGCTCAAGAGATACACCATGTTGTATTTCACACTGATTTATGAACATGACAGTGTGCTCTTTATTATGAGCAAGAAGGCCTGGATGCCTTCACCTGCTTTTCACAAACCTTTGTGGGAGAGCTGACCTCATCTTGTTGGCTGTAGCTTGCAGGCTTGGAAACACCCTTTAAAAACACAAAAAACCTCCACAAGCCTTTCTGCCAGTTATCAGCAGTGACTGGATCCTCTTCCATCATCATCCAGCGCCCATCTAGTGGGCAAAAGGAGTGGCCCCTGGCAATGCAGTACTCTTCTTTCCTAGGTCAGACACACACAGGGATCAGCACTCAAATCACAAATAGACAACTTTCATTTACACAAGGAGGTCACATCTATGTCCTGGTGTGAGCTTGGTAAAATTCAGAACTTTTGCTCTGTGTTTGCTTTGTATTCCTAGAAAGCTTTTCACCTTTCGCTGGCTTCACTGAAGCTTCCATTATGGATGGATATTTCACAGGGAATCTTCTGTAGCCTTCATTAATGTCATGGCATTTACCTTTACATGGGCTGTGACAATACCATCGAAATACGCTGCTCAGAATGTTGGTGGTCTCCGCAACCCATTCGTCTTAAAATGGGAGGGGAAACACTTTATTTCAGCTTATTCCCAAGGCCTGCTCTGCCCTTCTCAAATATTTACATACCCACCACTGCCACCCTGAACCACCCCATGTCTCTAGAAACAACCCCAGGGCACTCTTTTTATTTGAATTGATTTTCTATAGTTGTTTATCTTTTTTACCAATCTGGTCATGGAAAGCACATCTGGTTTCCATTTTAATCAGTATTCCTCTGGGATCAACAACATATTAGAGAGACCTAGCAATGCTAAAACAATAATCCATAATGATGCAACTTCTGGTAATTTGAAACGGTTTTATCCACTGTTTTTAGAAGTGTGCTAATGGTGTAGGCCCAGTGACTTCTTTGTAGATAAAGCTCACAAAGAGCCTTAATAACAGATATGTGGATACTCTGCCATAAGAGAATGATTAGGGCAATCAACGATTCCTGCTTTTTGCAATGTATGTAACCTCTGCGGAAGCCTATTGGTTGTGGTTTCACAGCGTTTATTTCAAAGTCCTCCCA